GCAAATAGAACCGCAATATATCGAAAATGATACTGTCCAACAATGCAGGCGTCGCTGCAAATAGAACCGCAATATATCGAAAATGATACTGTCCAACAATGCAGGCGTCGTTGCAACTAGAACCGCAATATATCGAAAATGATACTGTCCAACAATGCAGGCGTCGTTGCAACTAGAACCGCAATATATCGAAAATGATACCGTTTAACAGTTTAGGCGTCATTACAAGAAGCTAGCTTAGTGAAACTTCGGTTTAGGTATTAATTTTCTAAATATTAAAACTACTAATATACCGTTCAAATCAGTAAAAACGCATAAATTATTATCATTTCTTCAAAGCGAAGACAACACGATTTGATAGGTAGTTTTTTCTTTTTCTTTTAAATTTGCAAGTGTAACTTGTGAGTAATATGTGCAGAACACCGAGGCTCCGCTAACTTCTATGGATATCAATCCACGTAAAAACACCGATCTTGGCAAGTTGTACACCTCTTTCTGCAACAGAATTTAATTATAGTCTATATGGATGCATTTACAAAGACAGCAGTACAAGTTTCCAAGGTAACGTAGATTCTAGGTAAGAGTATTTTCAGGATAGTAACTGACATGTTCCTTTCGTAAACGATTTATTTCTGTATTTTCTCGAACTCCAACTAACAGGATGGAGAATAATATTCCATCTCTCTCTCACTTAACCTCCATCGAACAGTTAGAAAGATCTCAAGACGTTCAAGTTGTTCAAATAATTTTGCTGCAGTAAGAGAATATATAATGGGCCTCTGAGTGGTTCTTCTCCTTCCAACTTGTTGCTAGTCTTTCTCTCCTCTCCTGTTTGAGTTGTCATGCATTGTCTTACATTTATCCTCATCTTTACATCGTCCCTTGTTCTGAACTTTTCAACTTTGTTCTATTTATTACCGTATCATCCTTGTCGTTCTTAACTTTCATATTTATTTACTATATTCGCTGTCGTTCTTAATCTCTCCCCTCTTTTCCTTGATTTTTATCTCCTGCTCAACCTCCTACGATATTTTACCACTTCTCTGTCCTTTCAATGTTTCTACTTCATTTCAACTCTAACAGAAGCATAACTTGTAGTAAAAAATCAACTTCTGAGAACTTTTTGTCGTTTCCACACCCTCGTGTTTCTTACTTCTGCTGTCGACAAAGTACACATTTAAATTTTACGTCTTAATACGTTCGGGTCACGTTTTTTTTATTTCAGCTTACCTCCAGTAATTAGACATCGGTCGCTTTTTTCTCTCTTCTGACTTTCATTTCATCATACACACGGGAAAGTGTCAAGCTGAAAAGCTATGTATGAAAATGAAATTTAAAATTTGAAATGTCGCATTTTGAAGTATCGAAAGTAAGAACAGATTTTTAACAAACGCTACATTTTTGGACATCAAAATACGGAAATTTTGCATTACGAAATAAATAACGGTTCAATAAATTTACGTTCCACAAACTAGAACATACAAACGTTTTTTCTGGAAATACATAAGGTTCAGTATAGTGTTCAATAATCAAAAACTTAACAGAGGAAGTATTACATCTTGTCCAAAACAAATTTAAAATAGGAAGTATTCTATCTTGTCAAGAACAAATTTAAAATAGGAAGTATTCTATCTTGTCAAGAACAAATTTAAAAGAGAACGTATTCTATCTTGTCAAGAACAAATTTAAAAGAGGAACTATTCTATCTTGTCAAGAACAAATTTAAAAGAGGAACTATTCTATCTTGTCAAGAACAAATTTAAAAGAGAACGTATTCTATCTTGTCAAGAACAAATTTAAAAGAGGAACTATTCTATCTTGTCAAGAACAAATTTAAAAGAGAACGTATTCTATCTTGTCAAGAACAAATTTAAAACAGAAAGTATTATATCTTGTGAAGAACAAATTTAAAAGAGAACGTATTCTATCTTGTCAAGAACAAATTTAAAAGAGGAACTATTCTATCTTGTCAAGAACAAATTTAAAAGAGAACGTATTCTATCTTGTCAAGAACAAATTTAAAAGAGAACGTATTCTATCTTGTCAAGAACAAATTTAAAAGAGGAAG